CAATGTAGTGGTGGAAAGTAATGAAGTTTACCCAAGTACTGTACCTAAGTACAATTTTGAGGAACTTGTACATTTCTGGAGTATTTCCATTTTATGCTTCTTTATACTTCAACTCCACTACACCTTAGAGGCAAATATTGCACTTTTTGCTCTGCATATATACACTAGGTAGGTAGGTAGGTAGGTAGGTTTATTGTCACAATATAACAAGTTATAGAGTGAAATTGAGTTTTGTAACTCCCTACTGCTACATAGCAGACAATATACATTAATACAGAATCAATTATAAAAGTAATTCATATATACACTACATGTATTTTCTAACTTTAGTTACTTTGCAGATTTGAATTAATAATACAAAATAAAATAAATGATGATGTAGCTAAAGTAAAACTTTATTGGTCTCCGGGGGAAATTTAAGCTACCTGGCAGTAGCCTATATGTATTATTCTTAAACAGGCTTCAAGAACACCTTTACCTTGGTATGTAGATTTTGTAAGTATATTTTTATGCTAATACTTTTTTACTTATACTTGAGTCAGATTTTAAATGCAGGACTTTAACTTGTGACACTGTATTTCTACACTCTGTGGTATTGCTACTTTTACTTGAGTAAAAGATTTGAGTACTTCTTCCACCTTTGTCTGTATAATCCTGATCTTCAAAGTGCCTGTAGCTGTTAGATAAATATAGTAAAGTAAAAGTATAAAGTACCATTAACTGAAAATACTACAGTACAATGCGAAGCACATTAAAAAACATAAAAAATATACTTAAGCACTATATTTGAGTAAATGTACTGGATAGTCACTTTGTATTTCTGAATGTGTGATTTAAAAAAAAATACTGTGTGGTACGAGATCCAACAGCGCCACCCTGTGGACTTGTTTGGAATAGCACTTCACCTGTATCGGAAACATTGAGCAAGCAATTAACACTCATCAACACGAGGAAGCCTTGTCTGCTCTTGGACGATAGGTTTTATCGTAATTGTAGACTTTATTTTTATTTTTTTATTTACAGATAGGCTACCTATGAAAAGAAATCAGTTCAGTGTGAAACCGACGACTTTGCTGTCTGTAACTTCTCTTCTTGTCGTGTCGACGCCTCGACAGAATCAGGAAGTCCGGGGATTTTTCAGAAAAGAAAACTTGTATGGACGGTGGATACCCCACCTTTAAACGACAAATAATGAAGCGTCGCATTTGTTAACGCTTACAGTTAATTTATTGATGTAGTTCGTAGTTCTTATAGTAGCTGTCGTTCGTTACCCGGAACACCTGGATTTTTCACTTTGCGGGTGAGAGGGATGGATTTTCCTCATCTCACTGAAGATGAAATGGCAGAGATAAAGAAAGACGTGAGTATGACAGTTCAGCTAATGACTAAGTAGCCTATTCTGATAAGGTATGCTATGTGGGAAATAATTACAGACAGATTTATGGCTCTGCCGACACATTATTTGTACATTGTTTTGCGTTAAAGGTCTGTTTAAAGGAGGAAATACCCCACCACACCTTTTCTGCCCCCCCCCCCCAACACACTGTCCTCTGTCTGTGGGATTTGACAGCAGTACTTAAATTGAACACACAGGCTTCAGATTGAGTGCATATTTTATGTAGATCCAGAAAGTGTTTGCTCAGTCTGCCTCATCAAAAGCACAGGGATAGACAACATGGAGAGCAGAACCAGACCAGGTTTCATTTCATTTCATTCCACCTGCTGTAGACATTTACCTGCTGTACTCTGCTTTGAAGGCCAACCTGCAGATTCTCAGCCTTCTGACAACACAATGCAAAGAGTTACCCCTCCTTTTCAGAGCAGCTCACTTTGTTCTCCTTTTGCCTCTCTTATCTGGCTGCTGTGGATTTCCAGGTGCTGACCAGACTGCGGCACTACCTCTGCGACAAGATCAGGGCAGAACGCCACCTCGACTATCTGCGCTCTCGACGGATACTGACACGAGATGATGCGGAGGAAATCAGCTGCAGGACCACACAGACCAAGAGGACGGCCATGTTGTTGGACATACTGGCCGAGAACCCACGGGGCCTGGACGCCTTGATTGACTCCATAAGGGAGTTGCGTGCACAGAACTTCATCATCACCAAAATAACAGACGAGGTGCAAAAGGCCAAAAATGATAAGATCGAGTCTCTCAGAGGTTAGTAGGCCAAGTCACGATGAAATCTGTCTTTCAAATTCATTATATGTTCTGGATGCTCTAATTCTGATCCCCTCCTCATCTGTCACTCCGCAGCAGGGGTTTCCAGTTCCTCATCTGACAGCAGCCTCAGCACCCTGACTAGCGACCTCCCCACATCATTTTCAAACAACTCCACCCTGCTCTTCCACCCAGACGGAGAACGAAGCCCTTCCACCTCAGAGGTAGCGGGCTCACTCAATCTGCCATCGTTACAGAAAGGCGGAGACTTGCCCTCTGGGGCCAGTGCAAGCATCGGCGCAGCTTCCTCCACAACCTCCTCCAGCCTCCCGAAGCCCGGAGACCCAGGTGCTCCTCCGCTGCCGGAGGAAGTAATGGTTGAATCCCCCTCCAACTTAGATGCTGGAGCCCCGGGGTGCACCAGCACTGGAGGTGACCCAAACTTCCAGCCCCTACGGTCGCGCTCGCTCACTCCAACGTCACATAGGAGCATCTTTTGATTTCACATCACGATAAGACAGTTTTAATACAGTTGTAAGGACAAACCAGCAAAATCCTCTGCCACTCAACTCAACACATGTACAAACACACTCTGGTTGTAGTCTCACACTGTTTTTGGTGTTGCTCTTGCCTTTGATTAGGCGGTTAGTGATAAAAAGCTGTACATGGGATATGCTACTACTACCAATCAGCTTTGGACAAGAGAAAATGGGAACAATGTATCACTTGATTTGGGGTATTGTTTCAAAGTTTTTGATACAGGTGCCAATTCTTTGCCTTGATTTTGAAATAAGGCCTAAATAATACCTTAGTTTTAAGAATATACCCACTTTTTTAAATTAAACAAAAGAAGCCACACCTCTCAAATGTCAAATGTTATTTAAATAAAAGCAAGGGTACAAGAACACTGCTTAAATAAAAGTACAGTTAAAAAGGCAAAATTATGATTTAAATCAGAAATAATCTCATCAATAAATAAGTAGAGTATGAATTTGGGCAAGCATTTGATTTCATCTTTTGGGACTTAGTTTTCGATACTCGTGCTTCAAAAGTATTGAGGTTGGATGCCCACGTCATGAGCTAAGGAAATCTGACTCATCCTCTCCAACCTTTTCTACTCCTCTTCTTTTATCAATTTCCTGGTATATTGTAAAAACACAGTAGTTACAGTTTAGGTGCAGAAAGAAAGTTACACTGGAATGACTTGAGCATATATGTGTACTGTAGTCTGAACTCATGAGATGCTGCCTTTGGAAGAAAGCGATGCAGCTCTACATGATGATTTCCAGTTCATTCTATGCAGCATTAAGTCAACAAGAAATTGCTTTACATTGTTGTCACTACACAGGTCTCGAATCACAAAGCATATTGTGACATACAACCCAAATATCTGGTCGTGTTCAATAATCTAATGCGTAATAAAGGTTTTCTGTATGAATTCAACTCATGTTTTCTTTTTTCTTTTATTGGTGACTGTGGTGCTTTTATAAAACAAATGTATGCCTTTATTAAAGTAGCATGAAGAAAACCTACAACCTTTGACCTATTTGCTTTCCAGTAATGCTGTCTGCAAAATAGTGTCTGAGACTTGCTAGCTCTCAGCAACACAATATTAATTCATGAAGTCAAATTCAAATTACATTTCTACAGACTGCAAACGATTAGTTTGTGTGTGCGCAGAGACTTTAAATGTGAGTTCTATTTTTGTTTTGGAAAAACTGGAAAAGCTGAAAATGACGCAGAGGAGTGACAGTCATTGTGCTGAAGGCTGCTTTGGTGACTGCACTGCCTGATCTTCACAGACGACAGTGTTGGTTCGCTGGTGCACAGCAGGTAATTCATTTATTATTATTATTAATAATTTTATTCTTTTTGAGTTTTTCCTTAAACATTTGAGCTTTTACGCTATATATATATATATTTAAAATATTGATGAAAAATTATATAATTACACTACAGTAATATCTGCAGTTTAGGTACCTTTAACTTTATTCATTTCTGTTTGCTGCTGCGTTTTTTTGCAAACATTTAAAATTGAATGTGTGTGAAGTCATTTAGTCTACTACAATGAGCCATTGGTGAGATGTAAAAATGTATAAATTACGTTGCACCCCTACCTCCCAACTCATTTTTAAAAAAGCCATAAAAAAAGCATTTTAGTGCAATTAGTTCGCACTCCAGTGTAACATTATAGAGAGTGACAGCAGTGAGCACATGCAGGAGAACCAGTTACGATAAACATCAGAATGATTGGAATGGTTGGATCCTGACTGTATGATGACTGACTGTATCTTCAACACATTTCTGATGTATAATATGCCTTTAACAAAAGAAATATGAAGAAAAACTTTGCTCAAATTGTCTTCAGTAAAATGGAAGACTCTGAGCCACTGCTGGCCACAAGGTCAGAGGAGAGGAGGCTTAACGGACACTGCAGATGCGGCACTCACACTCTGTCGAAGATGGTGGAGGACTTCAGACGAAGGCTCAAGTACTTCTTCATGAACCCCTGTGAGAAATACAGAGCCAGGGGTCGCAAACCATGGAAACTGATGATACAAATATTAAAAATTGCGATCATCACAGTCCAGGTAAGGTATAGAATTATTTGGTTAGTATTTGCCAGGTCACTTTATTTCTCAAATTTATGTTTTTTTCCCCCTTCTCTGCTTCAGTTAGTCTCCTTTGGCCTGAGCAACGAAATGATGGTCACTTTCAAAGAAGATAATCTGATGACATTCAGACATCTGTTTCTAAAAGGATACAAGGATCACCGGCTGGGAAGCTATGCGCTGTACACAAAAGCAGATGTATATGATCACATCTACTACATTATGGACAGGGTACTGAACTTTTAGTTAAGACAGTAGCTAACAATCATACCACACAGGGATTTTGTGAAAAAATGTATAATTTAATTTTTTCCCTCTTCTTTCTATATTTCTTTTTCAGTACATCAATCTCCCAAACCTGACAGTAGGTAACCTTGCATACGAGTGGGCTGGTGGAAAGTACACGCCCCTGTCTGTCTGTCAAGAGTTTTACAGAAACAGTAGCATCGATCCTGAAAATGAGACCTTTGATATTGATCCCCATATTGATAAAGGTACATCATTGCTATATAAAGAGAAAAGATGTCAATTTAGTCATCAGATAGATTCATATACAGCTGTGGTATACAGATTCTTTTGTGCAAGATTTATTTATGGAAGCTGATTCATGGCGTGAATGGAAAATAATCACAATGTGGATTTACTTGTGACTCCATGAAAATAGGAAGCTTATAATAGCAGCAAAACATAGTCGCAGGAATGAATGCTGAATAATTCCTCTGCTGAACTAACTGACTTCATCTGCTTGTGGATTGATTGCCTTCATTTCCTTCTTGCAGATTGTATTTTCATAAATCCTGTGCAGTCGTTCGACAACAGCAGTTTGAACTTCTCTATAGATTTCAAAAGGTGACTAAACTCACAATACTGGTTTCATGCCAGGTGATAAGAGTTTTAGCAGCTAATAATGTTTGTGTGTTCAGGCTGCTATCAGTGAACATCTACCTTACTCTGAAAACCATCAATCTGCAGACTGTGCGGCACCACGAGCTACCAGACTGTTATGACTTCCATGTGATGGTTGGTGTCAACATCTGAAAAATGCCACACACTCTTATCTGAGCTTTTAGGATATTTTAAAAGATAAAAACATGCATTTTATATGCTCAAAAACATATTTTTGGGTCATGTCTTTAGCTTGCCACTAACTAAATCTTTATTTTCTTTATTATACAGATCATGTTTGACAATCGTGCACACAGTGGAAAGATAAAGGTTGATGTTAAAAATGACGCAAGAATTTATGAATGCAGAGACTGGAAGGTGGAAGGTATTTAAAGTTTTACCCAAACTTACTTTAATCCCAGCTATTGATATATGATTACTCATACTGGTTATTTCTTCAAAGGCCAGTAGGGGGCATTGTGACATTATTCTGTAACCCTTGACACATGTATGATTTAACTCAGCATCTGAGTATTACAAGAGAACAACACTGCTTGTCTCAGGTTTGTAGAAGCAGCAGCAGCAGCAACAAAATAGAGCGCCACAAATGTAACACCTAACCTGATATCTATGGCTCTATGTTCTAGCTGATAAGAACGATTACCTCCTCTTGTTGTTTGACTCTGTGGTCATCCTTGCCTGCTTCACCTCTCTCATCCTTTGCACGCGATCCATCATCAATGGAATCCAACTCCAGTTTGTAAGTTATGAATTTACTTGTAATAACAGGAAATTTATCTTAAGGAAAACAGTTACATAAAAATGTAACTAAATGGTCAACTCATAACCTCAGTATCATGACAGGTCAGGGCCGTAGCCAGAAGATAGATGAGTCGCCACCTCCTCATCAAATAAAATTATAAACCTCTTAAGTAAAAAAAAAACGAAAACAAGTGTTACCATTTCATGTATAAACTGAGCAATCCAACTGCCATGAATGAATATTAGTCTGTTTTGATGTTGTTTTTTTTTACAGTATCTGAGTTTCTCTCATGCAGGAATTCAACACATTCTTCCACGCCTACTACAATAAAATAGTTACTTGGTCAGACCGCATGGAGTTTGTGAATGGCTGGTATATCCTGATCATTGTGAGCGACACACTGACCATCGCTGGGTCAGCGCTCAAAATTGGAATACAAAAAAAGGTTTGCTTCTCGGTTTGATTGACTATTTTTAATTAGATCATTCACTGTAAGCCTGTTAGGCAGAGGCTAAATGGTCCGTTAGTAATGGGCCTTGTATTTGGAGCGTGATATATAAAAATGAACTTGTACTTATTTTATGTTTTTTTTATTTATCTGTTTGTGTTTTTTTCCTCTTGCAGTACCTGACAGACTATGATGTCTGCAGTATCTTGCTGGGAACAGGCACAATGCTTGTCTGGGTCGGTGTACTTCGTTACCTTGGTTTCTTCAAGAAATACAACGTAAGAGCTGCCATGATGCTACTTTTTGTTTTGGCATAATGCATCAGCCAGCCTGTTAAAAGTAGCAAATGCATATCCAGAGGAACTGAAAACCTTTATTCCCTTCTAGATATTAATCTTAACCCTAAGGGCAGCATTCCCAAATGTGATCCGATTCTGCTGTTGTGCGGCCATGATCTACTTCGGGTACTGTTTCTGTGGTTGGATCGTCCTCGGGCCTTACCATGACAAAGTATGATAATCATAATCAAGCCTATTTCAAGTGTCAGTGTGACATAATAGATTCCCCTCGGAATGGGGGAGCTTTGTTCAGGTAACAATGTAATATTGAAACTTCATTATCAAAACCATTTTTCCCAGTTCCGAACGCTCGACAAGGTGACAGAGTGTCTCTTCTCTCTCATCAACGGGGACGACATGTACGCCACCTTCCTGCAGATGAGAGACAAGGGCTACATGGTGTGGCTTTTCAGCAGACTTTACCTCTACTCCTTCATCTCCCTCTTCATCTACATGGTGCTCAGCCTGTTCATCGCTGTGATTACTGACACCTATGAGACCATCAAGGTCAGTCTGAGTCACCTGCAGTCACATACCAAAGAAATATTCTTAGATCTTCCTGTGGAGAGATACTTTTCAGGTCATAGTTTTAATTTCTACTAATACTATGCAATGGTACTGTTCCAGCATCACCAGAAAGACAAGGCGCCCGTGTCCCAGCTTCAGGCCTTCATAGCTGAGTGCAGGGACCAGCCAGAGTCTGGAAGATACCAGACTGATGAAGAGCCAGCTTCCCGCTGCCTCTCTCCGTGCTGCTGCTTTTAATGACATGAGAAGATGTGTCTTTTACCTTTGCCAAGTGCGGACAAAGAGCTGACATATGATGAAACTGAATAAAGCCACAGAGAGCATAGAATATCTTCTTGCTTGAGTAGAATGTTATTAACTTGTTTTTTTTTTACTTGACTTGCTGACCACTACTGAAGTAAAATGCTAAATTTTTCCTGTTAAAGACTGCTCAGAGGACCTCTTCGTTAAATGGTCACTAGTGTAATAGCCTTATGGCAATAATTTAAATATGAACATGCACTAACAACCAATTCCTCCTCAGTTCAGTGATGCATTCAAAAGTGGTGGACTACTTTTATTTGCAAGAATGATTTGTTAGTGATTCACTGATGAGAAATGTCCCCCTCACTGCACGATAACAACATAACTGGAGGTTTTACAAGCACTTGAGTATACTACTTAATTAATGTAGCTGTAGGCACTAGGCAACATTCACTGCCACTAAATGTCACACAAGAGCACCAGCATTTCGGCCCACCAAATGCCATTGATACAAACAGTAATTTTACCTCACAGATGATCATAAAACACACAGAAATAAAATAAAATTCACCAAAATCATCTTTGTTAGTCTTTCCACTGTTCCAACAATCGCCCACTCTGGTTTGTCAAAATAAACCCTCAATTCACCAAAATATTCTGAGTCTATGCCTCAAACGATGTAATACTTGGTAACAAATGCGACTGGCAAAGTAGCATATGTCCACTAAAAGTACAACATGATGACATTATGGAAATTATCCCTATAGAAACATAGGGATCCATTTTGTTAAATCAAAAACAGCCGTTATGTCGCCCCACCAGACTCAAAAAACCTGTAATTTTAGATTGCACTTGCAGATCATAGTTAAACGAACGTAGTTCAAACTTGACAGAAATGACCAAATCTGTGTTAGTCTTTTCACAAGGGGAGTGAGACACCATTCTTTGCTCAGGCTATCTTTACATAGCAAATAATTGGTTACTTCTATATTAATGTTCAGAATCTCTGATACAGAACCTTTAAAAAAGTAGATTTTACCGACTTTGAAATCTAACTTCCCCTGAATGTACCTACCTATGTGATTTAAAAGCTACTAAATACAGTTCATTAAGTAAGTAATTGCTTGCTTTTCATCCTTTGTAGGATCTTGGTGTATATTTTCTCTGCATATTTTGAACTGGGCTATATATGTCTCTGGGATTCTACTTTGTGTATTTTTTTTACTATTGCTATGTATTTTTTGTGCACTGTCTGATTATATTATATATTCTATTCTAATATACTACATGTGTCTTAAGCGCAACATAATAGTTTCACTGACAACTATGAAATAAAAAAATGTATGCCACCGTGTTTCAAAGGTCTCTGCAAAGTATGTAGTGGGGCATTTATTTTACCACAGCCTGCTCCTGAAATAGAAACCAGTACAAAACATGACGTTTATAATGCAAATAATATAAACTGGGTTTTATAAAGGCAAGACCATACAGTGAGGTCAGCTCCATGCAGCCTGTAAGGACTTTGGTGACACTTACCTCTTGCAGCCACAGGGGTGCCATTGCAGTGCTTCATGACACCTGACAGCATTTCTCATTTGCATAATCGTCTAACGTTCATATCCAATGTACGGCTCAGATACTGGTTGCCTACCAACGCTGCCTCCAATAACAAAGATGTTTGGTTAGAAGTCAGTGGAGGACTAGACTTTTAAAAAAAACACACACAACTAGCAGCAGCTGCAGCCGCCTGAGTAGTACCTACTGTAGGGGACAACTGTGCTGGACTGCGTTCACATAAAAAATAGGTAAGTGGGGTTTTTTTTGCGGCCGACAAGGTGACGGCTGAACTCGGCATGGCAGTTGCTGGTGTTTTCGATGAAAGATAATTTTGTTCATTTTGCCGACATTACCGAACTTGGCAAGTGTTCGGGTTGAGTTGATCCATTTCACACCGTGAGAATGTTTAACTTAGCATACAGCTAACTTATTATCCAGGTTGGCAAACAGTGCGAACTAACGTTACAAACCAGCAGTTAATAAATTGGATCCAGATTTAACGTTTTGGCTAACGTCGAATTCATCTTTCAAATCAGGAACATAAGGATCAGGTACATATCTTGAGTGCACTGGTCAACTACTTATCGCTGAAGTTTGTAACGTTCACGATTTCACGATAACCTTGTAATAAAAACATGTCTGTGCTAAACAAGGGTTTAGCAAACGAGCTAATATTAACGTTAGCTAACCTTAATTTGGTAACGTCGAGTTACTAACGTTATACGTCAAGATAACTCTACAGTAACTATTTAATTTATGAAGACATCTTTATCTAATAACGTCATGGTTAACCCACAAAAATAAGCACACTTGTCTTTATCTTCGCCTCAGTGTCACTTAACTTTAGATAAAAGTTGTGTGTCGTGTGTTTTCTGGTTTGGTAGATAAGAACATTGGCTGGGATGCACATGGCAGGGCAGAGAAACGCAGATACTCGACTGGTCGTTGTGTCCAACATGGTGCTCTAAAGCTTTTACTGTTGCTTTGGCTGCAAGGTTCACCCTTATGTTAATAAGCACAATGTGCTTGACAGCCCCCTGAACACAAGTTGGTACACCTCAGTACCTTGTAAAGTTGTGGGAGTGGCGTAGGTGTAGATATCTGGTTCAGCTTGTTTGGGTAGAACATGTCAAGATCATAATTATGTCCCGGAGGCACAAAAGTAAAAACATGCACATGCACTCTCAGATTTAGCCCCTCTGTATTGGCTTTCTGTCATTTTTATCTGTGTAAGTCGTTTGGCTCGAGGCTGAGATCATCATACTGCCCTGCGGTTTCAGTTGCCAATGGCCAATAGGAGAGCCCTGTTAAACCCCAATCTAACCCCCACTGGCAGACATCAGGCGGTTAATCCTGTGTGGGGGACGCAGCAGCCCAGATTATCTATAGCTGGTCTGTCTCATTGCTTGATGCTCCATTGCAGGGCTCAGATCCAGCGGCAGACTGCTAATCCACCTCCGGGGTTGATCACTCATGACCTCACATGCTCGTGTCCTGATGATTCGGTGATATGGGAGAGTGGTGGACAACTGTGCCAGCAGGGACATCTATGGGTAAATGTCTCTACTAATGATTTGGTAGAATATTTCAGTAACAGAAAGGCTCATTAGCTCTGCTTTTTGTGGGATCTGCTAGAGGTGACCCATATTTTTGTTCCCATTTTAGTGCAGCAACCTAATTCAAGCCTCTCAGTAGGAGAAAGCATGTACCTACCATTGCTATAGTTTCCCTCTCTCTGGTCTCTCTCTCTTTAGGAAACTATGAGATATCCAGCATATCGCATGTGACAATGTCTCCCTTGAGGCAGAACAACCTTGTGTCAATGCACTCTTCTTTGCCCCTGTCCAAAAGCTCCTACTGTGTGCTAAGTGTCTTTTGCACAGATGATAATGTTCTTCAGTGCATTTCATACATCAATCAGGTACGGAAACGCCCTGGTTTAGTTATTGTGTTTTATAAAAATAAAATGCATTAATCTAGTTCACATTAGATTTTGATGTTAAATTTGGACAAATGTGCCCCTGCTAAATGCTCATTATTGTGATACATTATCCTTTATTTCTGTAGAGATCATTGACTTCAACGGTGACCTAAGTCCTCTTTCTTTCACAGGAGCTCGCCTCGCTGGGCCTCTCCACATGTATCGAGGCCAGCTCACCAGGGGGATCCGGCCTGAACACAGTGCCAGCTCTGAACGCCATGTATGAGCTGCTCCAGATTCACAGGCGGAATATGTGCAATTTAGAGGAGCTTGAAAAAGAACAGCTGAAGAAATCCAGCTCCTTGGAACACATGCAGATGAACAATTCCAGACTTAAGGCACGTATGACTGAGCTGGATTCAGTCTGTCCAGCTCAGAATACCAACAGACTTTTGTCATTTTCTATAAACTGCAGTAATACATTGCTGACCACCAGAGGGCATAAAAGAAACATATTATTCTGTACACAGCAAATTCCCTCCTTTCTCATTCTTCCAAAAATAAATGAACTACTCTACTACAGAAACCAAACAAGGACAAGACTTTCTATCATTTTCAGTAGCACAATGATTTTCATGCAGTTATCTGTGCTTGCAAGGCTTAACATACCTCTTCTATCTATACCTACCAGTGAAGACATAAAGGTTATTTATATCACAATAGTGTAGAGGTAGGAGCGGTGCTGGGGCCGCTTTAGTTTACTAAACATTTTTAGCTTCATAAGAAAATTGAAAACGACAAATACCTGGTCCACGTGTGTAGATACTGTCTGTGGATTTACAGTCTGTCATTAAATGGGATTTTGCTCAGGAATCCACTCTTGTAGGTTTAAACCCTGAACTAACTGCGTGTGCAAAACATCGCCATCTCATTGGCTCATAATAAGAGTTGTGTGTATTTCCTTCTAGGATCAGTTGGAACTGTCTATAAGGGAGAAATCGGGTCTACATGAGACAGAAAGGCAGCTACAACTCAAAATTAAGACTTTGCAGAGCTGCTTGAAAACAGAAAAAGATGAGGTATAGTTTTTGGTATTACAAAATGTGCACCTAGATAGAGTATGCATGAGCCTGTCAAACTCACGAGGCGGTCATCCTGGATAGGTTCAGAAGCTCCAGAGTATCATTGCCAGCCGTGCCTCTCAGTACAGTCATGATGCCAAGAGAAAAGAGAGAGAAGCTGCAAAGCTAAAGGAGCGTCTCAGCCAGCTACTGATCGACAGAAAGGATAAGAAACTAGGTAAATATACTTCCACAAAAACTGTATATTCATTGCTCTTTATTGTGGGAATTTCAGGACTAGTTCATTAAGATTTGGCCTCCTATTTTTCCCAACTAGCTATTGATGTACTGAATTGCTTGGGGCGTTCAGATGGGAAAAGGAGCCAGTGGAAGACCGCAAAAGCGACAGCAAGGTTTAATGAAAACCATTTCTTGGCTTGTTTACCATATTTGCAGAATGTTCAGTCATCAATCAGACAACTGTTTTTTTTTGTCAATTACTCTCCGCAGCCACGAGAGTGAGATGTACAAGTCCTTGCTCAGTGACTACGAGGCGAGTCAGAGGTCCCTGATGTTGGAGAATGCCGAGCTTAAGAAAGTCCTCCAGCAGATGAAGAAGGACATGATACATATCCTGAGTCCATGCCAGCCCTCTGCCAGAGGAGCCGCTGCTGATGACAGTCTGGAGCAGGTATTATTAGTGGCATAAAACCAACAGTACTCTGTGTGATTACGTGTAAGGTGCAACAAAACTGATTTGACGTGTAGTTCCTCTTTAAGCTCTGACTATGGACAAAGGATTATTAAGCAACATCCAGGGTGCTGACTTTCTGATGGATAGGCAACCCACAGGCCGTATTAATAATGTGATAAATCACTACACTGAAACTTTATCTGTGAGTGTTGACTGTCTTGAAAAGAGACGCTTGCATGTTAAAAATATAGCTTGTCTGTTTCTGCTGTTTTGCTCAGGCAGATTCGGATGGGGAGGAGAAGGCGGGTGACTCTAGCAGGGAAACGCTGGACCAGTCCTGTGAGCACGCCAGGGAGCAGCTCACAAACAGCATCCGCCAGCAGTGGAGGAAACTGAGGAACCACATGGAGAAATTAGACAGCCAAGGTACGCGTAGCTCTGTCACATACCCTGATATACTGCAAAAGTTACTAAAAAAAGTTCCTAACTTAATGTGAGGTTATTAAAAAGTTGGATTGTGGAAAATGTACAGCTGTTCCCTGAAGCGTTCAGACATATATACGTATATCTGGAAGGAAACTGACATTATTAACTTTTGCTGTGTTTGTCTGCCAAGCCTCACAAGTGCAGAATCAGCTGGAGTCCAATAAGGAGGTGATACCAAGGGAGACCCACGAGGATGAGATGGAGAGGATGAGGCGTGAAGTGCAGCAGTGCAAAGAGTTCATTCATGCACAGCAACAGCTCCTTCAGGTCCGTTTCTGCTCATTAAGTCTGTGCAGGTTAAACATTTGCTTAGCAGAGTTTTATACCAATATAAGAGGCTTTTCATTATGCATGCAAATGAATGGATGAAATTGCAGTTGAGATAAATGAGCCCTGGTCATTTTGAAATTGTAGAGAATAATTTGGTCTAAAATGTGTCTGTTTCTGCCTGTGCAGCAACAGCTCAACACATCATTTGATGATGAGACAGCAGCTCTTCTTAATGACTGCTACACACTGGAGGAGAAAGAGCGTCTCAAAGAGGAATGGAGGCTCTTTGAGGAGCAGAAGAGAAACTTTGAGAGGGAGAGAAAGAACTTTACAGAGGCTGCTATTCGCCTGGGGCGAGAGGTGCTCAAGTCTTCTGAAGTAGTACCACAGTTTTATTCAACATACAGTATATTGTGGGTAAATGCAAATCTTTTTGTAATCCACAGAAAAGGGCCTTTCAGGAGGACCGTGCTTCTTGGCTCAAGAATCAGTTTTTGAACATGACTCCTTTTACAGACGGAAGGAGATGTTCCTCATCTGATGGCCAAAGTGCCTTGTCAATCAGTAAGTCTGTGTAATTAAAGATTACTCACAAAACAGGACTACAGGTTACAGTTGTAACAGATGATGAGCATTGATTTGTGGCACAAATTACCGGTAGGCCTGTAATGATAATTTAGAGAATAAAACTTTTGTCAAAAAAAAATACAACGAATAGGAGCATCAGAGCATGCCCCAATCGAAGTATGTTTTGGATCTTATTAACACTTGTGATGTTGATGAATAAAGAACACTAGTTATGATGTGCAAAAAACAATACAGAATAATAACGGTAGTTTTCTATTTATAGTACATGTAAATACCTGTATCTTTGACTTTTATTTGAACATCCCCTGCATTTCAGGAAGTGAGCCAGAGATGAGAATGTCTTCTACAGACGCTCGGCTGGCCAAATCCTCAAACTACGCTACGTTCTCCACTCCTAAACCTACACAAAGTGCTGCTGTGCCATCCACAAATGAACTTTACCGGACACTCCGCCTGATACCAGACAGCAGGTATTGTTCAGTCACTTAATTGTCTGTGTTTTGTGAAATTTGGATTCGTGTTTCCGCGGCATGTTTTACAGTGCTGGGGGTTAATTTGAGCAGTGTTATTTCACAAGGAATACTTCAAGCCAGTGTAGGATATGAAGTTTTAGCCTTCATACTCTTAACAACAGATCTAAAGTTGCTTGTAAGTACCTCCAAATATGTTATGTGTTGTATAAGAGTGAGGATCAGACCCTGTTGCTGGTAGTGGTGTTTGCTGTGTCATACCTATGAATCCCTGCATTTTTGTTTTTTTAACATTTCAGTTCCTCCAGACTTTCAAATCGTAGATGTTGGCAAGAGTCCAGCACCATTGAAGATGGAGAAACTCGATTCAAGTCAAAAAACAAAATTCGATGTGGAGACTTGAGCATCTTCTCTTTGGGTGAAGATGAGAACAGCCTCACTTGAAGAACTTCCAGTGCCTTTTTGTGACTTTGCAGTGGACCTCTTCCATGCAGTGGCATTAATTCATGGCGGAATATCCTCACAACCGATAAACATTTTTTGCAGCATCATTGTTATGTTGCTTTGTTATGGACATGCACAGATAATTCACCAAAGCTGATCAATCAAGAAAGCACTTTAATATCCCTGCCATTGTTCTTTTCTTTACATTTCTGTACAAACAAATGAACACTGACAAATCAGATTTAAAGCTATATTCAAGGGAGAGTGTCTACCAAGTAGTGATTTGACCATATTGGAGTTAGAAATGTCTGTTTACATGTCGATTCTATTGAAAGGATAAGTTTTGGTTTAAAATGTAATGTTTACACATAGTAGATGAATAAATTATGAGTATAATTTTAACTTTAGATTGAGAATGATATGCTCTACTGGTGGAGTAGCACAATAAAGGTATTTTTAATGAAAGGTTGCGTTCTGTCTTTTAATTTGGCGCCTGCTAGTGTGTTAAAATGTGAGTTGCAGTCACAAGTGTGAACAACCGGAATCCGGATGTCATCATCTTTGCTTTTGTCTCAGCATCCAGCCCAGGATCCCACCCCACAGCTCGCGTTTATTTTTTCACAAAAACACATCGAGAATGTCGGGTTCCTCTAATCTTGTAGCGATGAAAAAAGTCGTACAGCAGCTCCGTTTCGAGGCGAGCATAAACAGAGTGAAGGTAATGTATGTGCTTCTTGTTTTTTGGTTTTTTGTTCCCCCCCCCCCTCTGCCAAATAACTGGGGCCAAATCTCTACTGTTACCCCGGTCCGCTAACGACGCTAGCTGGTGCCAGAAGCTAGCAGCATTACGTTAAGTTAGCCGCTAGTCAACAGGCATAGCGGGGCGTTGCTGGGACCGAAGGGGAAGTACAAGTCTGATACACTTATTAAATCAATCACTCAAATAAGAAGAAACGTAGGGGCAAATATTAAATAACGTTAAAGATGATCAGACCCGGGTTGTACCCTAACTTATAGCGTTAAATTAGTTACCTGAAAAGTAAAAGCCGAGCTAACGTTACTTGAAGGAAAATGCTCTGTTGTGTTAGCAAATGCTGCGTTATCTGTACTGCTAACATTTTTTTTACTAAAATAAAGTTACAAAGCCGTTTTAAAGACTTCAATAACTGACTTGGATCAAATGAACCTAGATTTAAACAGGGAAAGAATGTGATTGTACTCAAAGGATATTTGAATCCAGAGGGTCCTTAGGATGGGTTTGTTTTGAATATTGGCACATTACAAGAGTTTAGCAGTACTTTCTGTATAATACACTATATTATTGCCCTCATAGTTTAAGTTCTTTCTTTTTAAGGACTAAAAATTGAAGCAGTAGAGGCAAAGATCTCCAGTATAGGTCATGCTTAAAAAATACTGTGTCCTACAGTTTTTAATTCAGTGACATCTTTCCTGATGATATCATCAGGGTTATGTTCTTTCTTTCTATTCTTTTATTTATTTGGAGGGCATTATCAGTTTTCACTGGCTGAGTAGTACTCATTGTGACAAGTAAATTATGTGAAGTCAATGGAGTGACCCCTTTAACGTGTCTGTTTAGGATAACCCATCATAGTTTACATTTTGGTTCCTCCTTTTGTCACAGGTCTCCCAGGCAGCGGCAGACCTTCAGCAGTTTTGCATGCAGAATGCCTTGCAGGACCCCCTGCTCACCGGTGTGTCCTCCAGCACCAACCCTTTCAGGCCGCAGAAAGTCTGCTCCTTTTTGTGAAACCACTTTATTCACTGGTCAGTCCGCCGGCCTGTTGACACATTCGCACATACTTTACACATGCAAAGGTCTGAAGAGTAGCTGAAGAACTGGCTAGAATGTCTTTAATGCATTTTGTGTGAGACAATTTTTCCTTCTGTGTCTCTTAAACAGTTTCGGTTTTTGGTGAAATTAAACTCGTTCATTATAATAAAAGCCTTTTAAGTTGAAAGGTGGTGGTTAAATGTTGGTTTCCTGTCAACAGTTTTCAGTGGGGGAAAAACGATCTAAACATCTATGGAAACTTCTCAGACCTCTCTAGCATAATTAACTTCTTTGCTATCTTCATGTATCCACAGTATATTACAAACCTTAATATTGTATTTTCTCCTAAACATGATGAAACGCAGGCTAAATTTAGCTGCTCATTTAGGAATCTACATAGTTGCTATATTTTGACAACATATGGATGTTTGGTAGTACTTCACAATGTTGCTATTACTTCTATAATATATATGCAGCTGTAGAATACAATAAGGACATACACTACCTTTTGATAGATTAAAAAGATAAAAAATCAAATGTAACCTTGAGCACAATTTTTTTTTTTAAATTAGCTTAAGCATAGGCCTTTATTTTTTTTATTTTTATTTTTTAATTAACATTTTTAAGATCTGAAACCTAACAAATGTCATTAAAAAACTGACCCACTTCAATTCATTGAAATCATGTCAGCTTAATCTATTTTGAACTGTCTGTGTTTTTTTGTTTTTTTTATTTATTAATTGTTCTGCAGGCCTTCATTTTGATGCTACAGGGAAAAGATGACCTCAACACTGCTCCTCATGCCAAGCCATTATACTGCCACGGGATCTCTTGAGTGAAGAACACATTGGAATCATGTCAGGAAGATGACCATCTATTTTCAGCCACAGTAGAAGAAAGGAGACAGTTTTATTTTTCATGGCACAGTATGATTTTCGATTGAATTATTGTGCCTTTTCTATTGTTCTATTTTAGTCATCACTGTTCTGGACTTTTTTGTATTTAATGAATAAAAAACATTCTTTACTACTCCAATGTTTTGAGTGGCACTTTCTCTTTTTTGACTCTCAGCAAATTATTTATCAGCATTTGTCAGAAGTACTTTAATATATACTAGAGGTAATAATTGAAGAAGCTGATATTTAGATCATGAAATAGAAGAAATTAAAAAGTTTCAGGTTACACGCAATTTCTATTTAGGCACCACTAAATTGCAACATACAAAAAAACTACACTTGCCTTGGCCTAATTACAAACACAGGAAACCTCAACATGGCTGTGAAAGATCTGAGGGACAAAGCAAGGAGAGCTTTCTACGCAATAAAAAGAAACCATCTATATTGAATAGAAATCTGGCTTAAAATTTTCCAATTTGTTCTAGAATCAATAACTATATGGCAGTGAGATTTGGGGACCAATGAATCTGACAAATGGGCCAAAACAATCAGAATCTTTCCAACCGACCTCTGTACGAGCATCCTGCAGGTGCAGAAAAAAAACACAAATATGTGCAGAGCAGAGCTTGGCAAATGCCCCCTCTTACTAAAAATACAGAAAAGATCACTTAAAATCAGTTAACCCCCAGACATACCAGGAGCTGAAACCAGAGAAGAGTCCCCTCAGCCAGCTGGTTCTGAGGCTCTCTGCAGTAACAAGTCTCCAACAGCCTCAGGACAGTAACACCAACTCAAGCAGACCAAACCAAATGATCAACAAGCTAAAAAAAATAATAATTTAATACTGGAAAGAAACAACCAAAACACAAAGTAAATTACAATGTTATCTGCCCTCAAAAAGAGAATTCACATTGGCAAATTACCTGTGCACATAAAATGTCCTAACTTAAGGAATATATTGACAACATACAGACTGAGTGAACACCACAAGAGGAAAGACTGCTCCCAGTGTGACAGAGAACAGGTAGAGACAGAGCTGCACTTTCTAACCTCATGCCCTAAATATAAAACAGTAGGAGAAAATCACTGCAAACATTTACCAAATATACCCCGAATTCAAATTCATATCAGACACACAGAAACTCGCCTATTTACTGGGAGAAATGCCAGAATGCCAAATCATTGCAGCAAAATATATCTCCTCATGCCACGAACTGAGGACAACCAGTGAAAACTCAGACTAGACTGATAAATATATTAAATAATTGTACTTTAGAATTTTCAAATTCTTATTTTGATTATTTTAGTAATTGTTGACAGGGCTCAGATGAGGCATCCAGTCATACATCATGTCAGAAAACTGTATCGCGGTGCCATCTAGTGATCATTCTAATGCTTCAGGTTCGGCTCTCGCGAGACGTGGACCAACGGACGCTATATCCATGTGAAGAGCGCTTCCATGAACAACGCCGGGGACTGAACCCAGGTCGGTGTTCCCGTCCCGCTACTTCAGCGGTTACAATAGAGCTCGTGAACCACAACTGCTGCTCGAACAGCCGAATGACACCGCCCTCGCCAGTCTGAAGAATGAATCATGGGGCAGCGTTACTGTGGAAACGACGGTAACTTATTTTGTTAACCTAGCATGCTAAATACAGTGCGCTAACCAAAGCGCATGGGTATGTGTGAAGTGCAGGCGTAATAGATAGGTTTGCTGCATGATACCTCTGGTCTTGTCGTTGTTTGTACCCCGTTCAGCATGGAAATGGTTTAACGTTAACGTGATGCTAACGGCTCTCTGAGGTGCACACCCTCGATGATGCAACCCTGAACCAGAGTTAACACCAGCCGGTCGGTGTTTGACTAAATGATCGTCATTAACGTTATACTATCAACTGAAATGAAGATCGTTAGGTGAGTGGTTAAATTGTTCGCCGCACCTGAAAAACGCGTTTGTTGAACCGTGCATTTATTAGTGAATCCCAGCTAGCTTAACCCCATGATGATGCTCCAGGATGGGTCAACACAGCTCCTCTGCCTCACAGCCAGCAGTGGGGTTCCTCTTTTCACAAGAGGAGCCTCCAAACAGCTGCCGTTCTCTGTCATCGGCTCCCTGAATGGGGTTCACATGTTCGGAGGTGGTCAGGGAGTAGTGTTGTCCTGCTGTGAGACTGAAGGCGGGGGTAAGGTGGTGTGGAGAGTTTTCCAGGATAGTGTCATGCTCATTGCTGTGAACGCAGGTGGACAAGGTGGCGCATGCAGCAGCAGCAGCAAAGAGGAGGAGGTCCGTTTACAGCGCCTCCTGGAGAATGCGTGGAACTGCATGGTGCTGGTGTTGGGGCAGGATGAGCTGGCCAGTATCAGGAATGTTGAGAGGCTGAAGAGGGACTTGCGGTCCTGCTTCAGCCTCATTGATCAGCTGTTGGAGGAGAGGCAAGAGGGCATTCTGGGCAACCTGACGCACTGCGCTGATTCACTGCTTCCCCCAAACCCCACTTTTCTTCAAGAGGCCGTGGATGGCTTTGCTCAGGCTGCAGACAGTGAATTTAGCTGCCTCCTCGTCCATGGGAGGATAGCTGCAGCCACCGAGAAGTGGTGGCGCCTAGCACCGCAGGAAGTTGTGCTGCTCTGTGCTTTGATGCGGTCCCTGTCAGCATCTGGATCAGCCTCTTCTGACTACCCAGTTTTCCTTCCTCAGGGCAGCCCCACCGTGGCCCACCGCCTGCTCCGCTTCCAGCTGCTCCCCGGGGCAGATGTGTGCGTGCTGTGCGGCCCAACTCCTTCCCTGCACAGAGCTGAGAGTGGGCTGGTGGGTTGTTTCTGGACACCCCTGGTGGAGACCCTGAGGGACTGTCTGGCTGTTGGAGAGCGCTGCTTACCAGGATCTGTATCTCTGCGCCCCGATGTGCTGGCACTTCTTCTCATCAACCGTGAAACACGCCGCTCAGTCTCCTGCGTGCGGACCTCCACTAATAATCATCCCCTCTGTGACCCCCCGTTGCCCTCCAAGGCCCGCTGCTGGGAGCTACTGAAGCTCTTCTACATCTTCAGCACGACACGCTACTTCACCCAGGAGGAGACTTTGTGTGTCTCCCCAGACGAGAGGGCTCAGAGAGGCTACACAGAAGATTTTGTCCTTGGATTCTCCCACCAGCCGCTACAGAGCTATCTAGTTACAGAAGAGTGCAAAAGCTATGGACTTCAGACACCGCAGCACCAGCTCTTCCTGCTTATCCCACTGTCAGTGCCTACCTTTGCACTTCGTACGGTGGCCACACAGACTCTTTCTGATATAGTTGCAGCCACTGGGTTTTAATTGAACCATTTACTTTGTTACAGCATCTTAATTTTCTGTAAAACCACCATCTTTGACACAATAATATATGAATTAGCTGCAAATATTTCTCATGTCTTGATGACTGCAAACGTAACCACTATATGTTAGCTTCCATCTTTAAACAACTGGTAAGAGCTGTACAGTAGAAAAGGATATCACTGTTAATGGTCTCAGCAGGTATTTTCTTTTACTAAACTACTGATCAAGAATGTAATACTGACAAAAATATGAAAACAAGTGAAAACATTATACCATAGTGAACTTCTTTGAGATTACTTACTGAACAGTAACATGATCACCAGGATTGCACTGTATATAATGTATTGGAGAGTCATGTGAAACTGTTACACTGGGATAAATACGTGCCTTCTGTTTGTTGGTTTGACATGTTGAATAATTTGACTTAAAATATGATGATTATTTTGCTTTCTGTGGGTTTATATCAGAGTTTTTTTCCTTCCTTCATTGCAAAACTGTGTAACTGCAAATAAGCAAGAAGCAGTAGTTTCATTTAAACTGCTTACCAAGGAAAGCTTGTAACTTATTATGTTTTCTTTTTCTTTTTTTTCATTTCTGACATTTTCTTGACTGCTGAGGCACAGAAAGTGGCCACTATTGGGTTTAATAAGACTATTCAACTTTGAGAAAGACAAACTAAAAGCATCTGTCAGAAATTCTGTTCTATAACTCATACTAACCTATGCAAAAAAACCACCATTGCTTTCTGTGAGTTAGTAAAAACATCTGTATTTCGAACCTCATAATGCTATAATAGTGGCAGTGAGTAGTGACAAAACACACACTTCATTATTGAATTAATGCTTTGTGTCAGGGTAATTGCAGTGTTTTGCGTTGCACTTGTGCACTGATCTTTCCATGAAACGTATTGCAGTCCCACTTCAGAGTTGTATTGAAAGGCACACTGAGGATAAGTAACATCCCAATGCCCAGTATGTTTAGTTCCTGTGAGGAGAGAGAGTCTGCAAGAGAACATGACATTTGTGGAATTTCCACACAGGACATCCCAGTTTAACCTGGGAACTGGGAAAATGTAACCGGTGTAATTAGGCCTGAAGTACCATCCAGGGACTTCTGAGCAGCAGAGATCCAAAACACTTAACTATATGGTATTAGTATTCCAGGAATAGTGATTTTTCATTGAAGCCTCTTCTGTAGATTGTTTACGTGATTATAGCATGTTTCTTTAGTCAGAGAAATTAGCATATAACCACCCCAGAAAGAGTTTAGTGGTCCAGATAGGAGGAGCATTCATAAGTATTTTTTTCAAAGCCTCCTCCCAAACCGCATGGAGCTCTCAGAACAAAAAGCGGGGCGCCGTGCGGTGAGCGCGGGACAAAGCTGGAAGCTGCACCCGGTTCGCTGGCTGTGTGTCCCTCTGAGCCACGTCAGGCGTCCCAAGCTGTTTCGGCTTAGTAACCGGAGAACCGAACTTGACTGTCGGCCTCAGGGTGCGTAGGGTAACTGGGGAGAGGGGGGTGGGATAACTGTGGACATGTAGCCACACAAGGGGGAGGGATATGCCCTGGGGCTGTAGCGTGGCCATGTGTGCACGGATCAAAACTCCAACATTTCAGAGTGAAAAGCTTAGCCGATGTGTGTGGATGCAGCCAGGGCCTTTAGAAACTTCCTGTGGTTTTTTTTTTTAAATCACAAATTTGCCGAAGGCTCACTAGTATACTTTCACATCTGACAAGATCAAAGGTTTGAGTTATTTTAGGAGTGGCTTCACTTGCACACCCTTAATTTTCATTTTCCCAGAGTGACACAACCGGTAACGTTAGGCTATAGCAGTTTGCTGTGCACCGCAGAGGCGTTAAAAGTTGCTCAACGTGTTCACAGAAGGGAGTGTAACTTCATGGCAGCCACACGGATGCAGCTGTTATCACCGAGAAAAGTCCGGCTTTTAAGCCGAGGTCGAAATGAATTGTTTGCCGGTGGTAGCGGAGCGCAGCGGCCCGGCGGTGGTCCCAGGGTCCGCTCACTGACCTCTCCCCCTCTGTCCTCCTCCTCTCCCGGCAGAGCTCTATCGAGTCTGAGTGCGACGCGGCGTGGGCTTCCCAAAGAGAAAATGTCTGAGAATGGATTGTCGTCCCGGGCCAAGGTGTTGACCATCGACACCATGAACCCCACGGTGAAGAAGGTGGAGTACGCCGTGCGGGGGCCCATCGTTCAGCGGGCTGTGGAGCTGGAGAGGGAGCTCTCTGAGGTTTGTACAACAGGCCGTCTGATCTAAGTGTTCATACTTCACGTATTCTCCATGGATCATACTCATCATCTGTGCGTGTGAAAGGTATCTCGTGTTGTCTGTCATTCGTTTCACCACGTTATATGCTTATTCTACAGGTGAGACCGTGGCAAAAAGCTGTGTACCTTTTTTGTAGACTCACATATTTGGGAAAATAAGGTTTTATGGACGCAGTCAGTGTCTTTCATCAGACATAATTGCAGGTCAGACCAACTTCAACACCTGGTTATGTTCTCACTATTACCATCTAAACATTATCCCTTAAATAAATCGTGTGTTATCCCTTGCTGTGCTGTTTACACACCTCTTATCAAAGTCCATTAGTTAGTCAGTAATTCTTGAGCAGGTTTAGCCTGTCACAACATGGGTACACAGGGTGCAAAATTAACTTTTTGTCCACCAGCTAAAGTGCTAGTGTATGTTCAAATTGTACCAGCCACTTCATAGATTATCATTGTGGGGGGTTTTTTTGGCTAGTGAGTGAAGTAAATTTACCAACATTTGGCTGGTGGCTGGTGCAAAATTTGTACCTCAGATGTAGATATTCCTCGTTGTTAGTTCTAATTAATTTCTTACATGTTTCTAAACCACAGTTGTTGCTAATGGAGAGATCCTCGGTGAGCGGTGAAAGTCCATAGTCTAAACCAGAGACTGTCCTGTTTACTGCCTCTCACTGTCTGACCTACTATTGATGTACATATCTGTTGCCTCACTTTACCCCCTGCAGTCTTCAATGTCCTAACTGTTCGGCTTGGCTTATCTGTCTACTATTGTACCTTTTTTAAATCTTATCAGCCGTAGACGAGCATAGACTGTTATCTTATGTAGAATGGTCATCTCAGCGTCTACAAATCACTAGTAGAGTAGTAATATAGAGGTAGTAGTAGTAATAAATCTGAATCCGGCTCTCAGCTCTTGTGTCCAGCAGCTTAAGTCATGTCTTTAAATCCATAGCATACACTGATATTGTTTTTGTGTTTTTTATCATCCAAGATATTTTTGGTCCTTTCCAGCTTATTGGCATTTGTGCTTGTCTCTTTGTTTTTTTTGTGTTTGTTTTGAAAAGCTCTGTCCCATCCCTTCCACTCGGACAGTTTGTGATGATGTGGCAAGCAGCTGTTGGTGTACTGAGTGCAGTCTGGTGTGAAAACTGTCCTCTCCTGAGTGCTTTGCTCAGGAAGGGATGAGCATGCAAACAGGTCCTTGCACAAGTGAAAGGGACTGTAATGACAGTAGTGTCCTTTTAACCAGATGACTCACTGTCTACATAGATTTTGAATTGTATTTAGATCTTCAAAAAGCGGAAGAAATTGCAGTTGGATTCAGTTGGTAAAACCCTGTCAAGATATCGGGGTATAGGATCATTCACAGGGGAGGAAGCAGGGGAAATGCTATACACAGGGAAAGCACTGCAAGTCTGCAGTCTGTCCTGTTGCCAGACTTCACCCAGCCAGAAGGCAAAAATGTACCCGAAGTAATCCTTTACAGTCCTCCCATCTTTTCCCCCAGTTTTCAGAAACACTGAACTGTGCTTCTGGAAGCTTTTAAACTGTTGCTCTTCCTTCAAAACACATTCTCTTTCGTTATATGATCACATCCATTTCCTACTGCGGCTTGGATGGTGTTGGATTACTTTGGGAAGCAGGTCAAAGTGGTATTCTCGCTTTTGTCTGTGAATTATACTCAAGCACATGAATGCACACTGTGATTCCTCCGCTCCAGTTTCTTCCACGCCTTGTTTTTTTGGAACTGAGAGCTTTGCTCTTCATTTACAGTACAAGTACGGCCTTGTTCTTGTTATTTCCCCCCATACTAAAGCTGTGTTGGTTGCTCATAGCTTTTCCGAACAGGGAATGGAAAGGAGTCAGACTTTGAGCCAACTTACTGTACCAGTTAACAAGTGCACAAATCAAGGCTTCACATGCAGTGATTACATTGAGGTCTTTGTTTGTCCTAATGAGAAGCTAGCTGATAGTGAATGGGGACCCTTTGAGACACACAAGGCTAGTTTTGTCAAATTCTTTCCACATATTCTGCCAGAATAAGCAACATGCACACGTCTACTATGTTTTCCATTTTAGAATGACTATTGAGTGTATTTGGAAACACTGTACTAAGAACAAAAAAACACATAAATGACGAGTCACATTATGCAAAATGAATTTTCTTCTCTTTGTTTTCGCACTTTGCATCGGGAGCACAGTTTCACCTTCTGCTAAAACTTCAGCATTGTTTGCGTTACTGTTTTATCAGCGATGGAGGACAAAAACCAAAGCCCTTTCGCGTTGGTTCTCAGGAGCAGAGGTCAGTGTGTTTCTAAAAAGACCCTCATCCTGAATAGGCGGTATTTATGACCACGGGGTGTTATTCTGCCTGTATAATGTTATTGGCCCAGACCGAGAGACGCCTCAAATATGTGACCAATGAGAGAGCCAGAGACTCAAGCTTGCTAAAATCTGAACTGGAGTGGGCAAATAAAACAAACAGGCTGTTTTGATTTCTGCAGGTTGTCAGTGTGAGGTTCCACTTGTGGTCTCTCTGCAGTGTCACGCTGTTGCTAACATCTGGTGTTGTCGACGTGTGTGCGTGCTTGTTATGTGCATGTGTCTGCCTACATTGCTGTTTGTGCTCTGTCAGTGGGCTCAGCTACTCAAGAGATTATCTTTCAGAAACGTTATATTATTGGCCTGGAAGACCGTAAATTAATACCTTATTTGGATGATATGTTGTCCTAATTATTTTGGTGTTGAGCATGCTTCTGCTCAGTCTACACTAAGGTGGTTAAGCGCCCTTGTGTAACGTTTGTCTCTGTGTTTATGTGTCAGAAGGTTAACAGTATCAGTACCACAAGGTAGTTTGCACAGGTTGAAGCTTTGTTCTCATGTTTGCACATAGTATCTGCATCAAGGCCTTTAGAAATACACTAAATTGTTGGTACTAAATGATTTCTGTCTATTCTGCAGTGAAACTTCCCATATTAACCAAGATCTCTATGTAGAATAGATGCACTATTGAATAGAATCAAATTTCTGTCCGTAAAGAATTACTTCACTTTATAGTGTCAGTGAACATCTGCAAGTGTGTGTGTGTGTGTGTGTGTGTGTGTGTGTGAGAGAGAGAGGAATAAAAAAAAGTGAGCATAGAGAATGAATTACTGATGCCTTACATGGTTTTCTGAATAATCAGGAAACTGAGTTACTTCTGCCGTTTACTCAGAAAATCTGTCTTGTGGAATTTGATTGGAAACGTGACGATTAAAGTTTTTTTTTTTTTTAAACAAAGTATGTTGCCACTGTTGTTTTTCATTAAAATTATATTTAGAAAGATTTAAATAGTGCTGTCTTCTTGAAACTGGGGAAAAAATGCAGTGGGGGTTCTCCGCCAATATCTTTAGGTTTGTTAATGCGCAGTCGCTGTAAATATTATTTCTTGTGTACAAAGTGAAGAAATGCTCTCATTGTTCACAGTCCGTCCCCTCCCCCCTCCCATTCTTCAAATATATAATCATTTCTGTATGTTGTGTTTATGTTCTGCAGGGAATGAAGAAGCCCTTTTCTGAGGTCATTAAGGCAAACATTGGTGACGCGCATGCTATGGGCCAGCAGCCAATCACTTTCTTCCGGCAGGTCTGCTCCTAAGCCTTTTCCCCAATCTCTCATCTAATTATAACACCAACCCTCTGACTCTTCGATGTCTAACAGATTTCTCCCTCGTTAACTAAATTGGTGTAAATTTCCCCCCTGTTTTATGCAGTAATCTGTGTAGGAATTTACATAATGTCCCTTCTACCCTTTATACTCACACCTCTCTTTGTTTCAAGGTCTTGGCGCTCTGCTCCTACCCTGAACTGCTGAATGACAGAACATTCCCTGAGGATGCTAAAAGTAGAGCACGCCGCATTCTGCAGTCCTGCGGAGGGAACAGTATGGGTGTGTATGAGTGTGTTGGCACAAAAAGCTTTACATAACCCCAGTTGCTAATTATCACCTTTTGTCTCTTCATAAGCTCATTGTGTGTTAAAGTATGCTTTCTGGTTTGTACTTTGTTGTGTTAAAGCTTTTAAGTTATCATAGCAATGTGTATTGTTTCCATATGAATCTCCCTCAGGCTCCTACAGCGCCAGTCAGGGTATAGACTCTGTGCGTCAGGATGTGGCCCGCTACATTGAGCGAAGGGACGGCGGTGTGCCCTGCGACCCAGACGACATTTATCTCACCACAGGGGCCAGCGACGGCATTGTGGTACAAATCACCTCTCATCTGTTCAACTGACTTTGTTGTACTACTATGTGTTTGTTTTTTTTCCCCAAAAGAAATTAGGGATAACATGTAGCAGTCCAATATTAATGAAGTAAAAGTTACCTGATGTCTCGATTGGGATTTTTAAGACTGATGGACCAAGTCTTGATAATTTTGTGGTAAATTAACATAAACTGACAAATCAGATGTATGATGGAGTGAACCCGTCCTCAGTGAGTTCTCTTTGTTAAGGTCAAATCGCACAAGCTGCAACTAAGAGGAAAACATGCCGTCAGAACAAAAAGTAGCATCTATTCTAGATCAATAAGATAAAAAAGTGCTGAAGTTAGATCACCGATGCCCAGACAGTTTGGCTGGTGACCCTTTAAAAGCAAGATATTATCTTCGTCCATGAGCTATGTAGCGTTTCATTTCAAATCAATTGTAGAGTTCTGACAAGTTACAGTTAAAGTCGTATAGCAGTAATGGTTTTTATTTTTCTATTTTGTTGCCCATCCAACACTGAGGGCACTCCCATCCTACTGAATTGGACCATTTGCCCCCCATCAAACTGATTGCATGATGTGTACTTTAAAAGGAGAACTTCATGCCAAAACACAGCTGCAGAGCAACAAAGTGAAATTCAGAGGAGCAACAGCACCTGTTTCCTTTTCCAGTCTTTTATGCAAATGTGACATGCAGACAAAGCTAATCTGTGTTACTTTTTATGTAGGCCAACTTGTGGAGCTGACATATCTTTCTTGAACTCCCTATCCTGCACTTTTAGACCATGCTGAAGCTGCTGGTGTGTGGCGAGGGTGCGACTCGCACAGGCGTCATGATCTCCATACCTCAGTATCCACTGTACTCTGCTGCGCTGGCCGAACTGGGCGCCGTGCAGATCAACTATTATCTTAATGAGGAAAAATGCTGGAGTCTGGACATTAGCGAGCTGCAGCGCTCCCTGGATGAGGCCCGGCGCTACTGCAATCCCAGAGCCCTGTGCATCATCAATCCTGGAAACCCCACTGGTAAAGTTTCCTTCATTGTTTTTGGTCAAAGTGACTACTAGGTGCTTAGTAGTTGTCAGTATTTCACATATTATGTCGTCCTGTTCAGCCCTCTGAATAATCAAGTTGTGTCAGTTTTAAGGGATTGACAAAATAACCTAAGAACCTCATTAAATGGAAAGGAGACAAAAACAAAGTGTCAAATTAGTTTTTCACAGTAATGATTGTACTATTTTGTCAGTTTAACTTATATTTGGCACATATTGT